TACATTGTATATTTACATTAAAACGTACACATTTGGATTAAATCAATCCAGACAGAAGTGACATACCCGTCTAAGTGACCACTTGATAGAAAAGGGATGCAAAATGAATATATTATGCCTTGCGCATTTATAATGGAAATAAGTTTTGTTTCCAAATATCACTATATCTACATGATATAGACATAATTGAGATAAAGGATCTCGGGAAACTCGGGTCTGTTTTGAAATTAAACACCGAGTTGGTTGAATATTAATTCACCAGTTACATATATCCAAAAGAGTTCTCAGGCAAATTAACATGGATAAATGTAAATTGTTAGCACTCCCATGATCGGTCGAAATATGGATACTTGAAAAGATCCACTATGTTGGGAGAAGGAATTCTCTATGTAAGTGAAATATGCGCATGATTGTACTTTGACAAACACATTCGACCAAATATTACATTCTCAATAATGTGTTAGCTAAAAGTAGCTCAGGACCAACACATCGTATGATCGTCATTGGAATGTATGAAGAATGTTCTTTAATATCTATATGAAACCATTGATGTCATCTTTAATCATCCCTTATACATTGAATTGAATGATTGATGATAACAATATTCCTAAAGGAATTTAAAATATCAAAAGTATTACTATATCACAAAGTAACGTGGTTTGAGTTTTATCGATGATCGGATCCCCTTACCTCATTGGTATTTTGCTAATGAGTATATATTTATCATGCAATTAACCATGATGTTATATATAATACCTTGATAAAAGTATATATCAAGTATTGATGTGTTTTCACTCAGGGGGGAGTACCTTACTTATTTATCATCAAGTATATTGGTGCGTTTATTTTTTTCTCTTTTGACGAAGGTTTATTTTTTCCACTGGGTTTTGTTACTTGGCAAAGTTTTTTTTTTTGAGACAACATAATATGCACCACATTTTAATTTTGTAAAGGTAAACAATGTTGAAGAAAGAACATAATTACTATCAAAAGTAATTGATGCGGAGTTACTGGTGCATCATACTTGCTTTTCCCTTCGGCTGGTGTTTATTTATTTTTTCCTATTGGGTTTTGCTCATTGGCAACGGTTTAGCAAGTTATAACATTTTTACTCTTATCACCTTATACTTGGCACACAGGGGGAGAATTAAAGGGAATATATTCCTTTATTTGTGTGTCTTCGATATGGTGATTAACGTAAAAGTATTGGAATGTATGAACTTTCCAAACATCCTTGATTAATGTAATTTTTAAGGATATGGTAGACTTGAGGGGGAGTTCCCCATCTACACTGCGTTACACTCTTTTCCTTTAACCAAGTTTTATTTTTCCCACTGGGTTTTGTTACTTGGTAAGGTTTTTAATGAGGTAACCAGACACATAAATTATATTGATCAAAGCAAGGATCAAATAAGGATAGACTTAATGGAAGAAGCCTATCGGGATGCTATACTCTTTTTCTTCAGTCAAGGTTATTTTTCCCACAGGGTTTTTGATACTTGATAGAGGTTTTGACGAGACAACAAGACAGATACCAAATTCTATTCAACTCAGCACAAGGGGGAGTGTTGAAGGAAATTCTATGTAGTATGATATCGTTTATATAGAATATGTATTAGGGTCATTTCTATGTAAACTATGTAATCTGGGCCTATTGGCCCGTACTTGTAAACCCTACTCTATCACTATTTATAGGGGCATTCGGTAATGAAACTCTACGAACAATTCTCCCTACAACACATATTGTATAAATGTAGTGCCCTCCATTATATTTACGAAAAGGAATGTTTTATCATTGTTGAGTTTAATCCAACATGATATAGTAAATATATGTATAAATGTGTATGAACAAGCTCTTTTTACGTGGAAACCCGAAAGGGAGAAAACCACGGGACTTTTTAGGCTAATGTCCAAGCCCTCTCATTCTCATTAATTTCTCCTCACCATTACATAGTACAATTTGAGCTCCATTAATGGAGTCTTACAAACTATTCTAGAGAGAAGGAATGAGTTAGGGAAGAAGAGAAAAGATCCCTAAACATGTGGGAAAACCCCATATTTATAGGGGAAAGGGAATAGGGGAAAACCTACCCTAATGGGCCGAACGGGCCAAAATGGGCCGAAATGGGCCCAAAGGCCGAAACAGGCCTAATAAGCTAAAACGGGCCTCACTGATCGGGCTCCGTACTACGTACAGTCTTGGGCTTCTGAACAGTAACGGACCGGGATAATATATCTCAACAATCATAATTTTCTTTAATTGTAAATTTTAACTTTCATATACATAGAAACGTACTTCATCTATTTCTATTTTTTCTAAATAAACCACTTGTTTTATCCTCCCCAAAATTACCTCACATTTTTAACTAAGAAGATATTATGTGATTAAGAAGTTTTATACTCGTATGATTATGACTACGATTAATGCATTTATCACCACTATCAATAATAAATTACATCAAAATCTAAAAATGATTTAATGTTTTTATTATATGGCCATTCACCCACTTTAAAAATTAAGGAGTATTAAAAATTTATATGTAGTACGCTATGATTATTAAATTACTCTAGCAAAGTACGTAGATTGAGTATATAGATAATGTGTATGTCATAATTTTATCTCCCTAATTTTATCTTTAAACACCAAACACTTCTTGGCTTATCCAATCCTAAACCCTAATAATTCAGTATAAAAAAAGTTGTATAATTATACCATTTCCTATACGATTCCCTAACCAAATATGAACTCTTTTCATCGTTGAAATTTAATTATAATACTTTACTGAAAAACTCTATTAAGGTCTGCACTCCTATTAATTTACTTTGGATGAAAATAGCAAAAAAAATAAATTGCACATCATTGACATATAAAAAAGAAAAACGAAACGTGGTAACATACGACATATAAATGTGAACATATCACCTAATATTTAATACTTTATTAGAAATTCAAAATTAAAACCATTCTTTACCAAAACAATATAACCTCTTACTAACCATTTTTCCATTATTTAATATTTTTTCCTAAATACCATTTCGAAAATCATAAGTTTATATTAAGTTCAACAAGCAGGGGTGGTTCCAGGATTCTGAGTTGCCCTAGGCTAAATAGAAATTATACTAGGCTTAAATATTAGAGGGGTGGGCTAAATATGACAAATGAAAAAATTTACACTAAAAAATTTTAAAAAAAAATCTCAATCGCTCTGGTCTTCAGCCTACCATAACCCGTACATAGATCCTCCCCTGTCAACAAATAATGTATGTAATGGTACTCTTTACTACAGACATTCAAAGTCTACACATTTGTTTAGATAAATCAAAACAACATCTTGCCCCCAATAACCTTTCGGGCTGGATCCGCCACGGGCCGGGCCGGATCAATTTTTTTCTTTTGCTTTTCTAATTAATCCCTGACCCCCCACCCCCGAAACCCCCCCAAAATACCCAGCCTAACCCGGGGAAAAAAATTGAAAAAAAAAAAAACCGAACCGGACCCGGCCCGGCCAGTTCCATTTTTGCCTAACCCGAGCCCACTATGACTAACAGCCGGTGCGGTCCACCCGGAGCGGTCCAGGACCCAGTCACCGGGCCAGGCCGAAACAGTGTCGGGCCAGGCCGGTTCACAGGCCGGTCGGCCCGATTGCGGTCCATCCCTAATTGAATCATCATAATCCATGAAAATATGATTTAGGGAGTGTTTGCGATTGCTTTTACTTTTTAAAAGTGATTTTTTAAAGTGACTTTAAGAAAAGTGATTAATAGTAAAAGTTGATAGTTTTTGGGAAAAAAATGATTATGAAAAAGTAAAAATTGCTAATGTTTGATAGAACAAGTGCTTTTTGTGTAATAGAAAAAGTGAAAAGCAGTTTAAAGCACCTCTCAACCTTCTTTCAACTTTTTTAACTTTTAAGTGATTAATTTAAGCAGAAGCTGTCATTTGAAAACACTCATTTCAGCTTTTTTTAAGCCAAAAGCAGAAAAGCACTTAAATTAATCTTTAGCAAACACTCCTTAAGACATTTAAGTAATTTCATGCTTGATAAGTTATATGCAATTAGATGTTGAACCTCACCTCAAATGAGCTCCAAATTACCCTCTTTCAATCCTATGCCCAAACCAGCCAGGTAATATTGAGGACTGACTCCTTCCTTAAAAATGGTGTCTAGACAACCTCCTTCAAGTGATTGTATGTTCCTTAGCAAGATATATGAAAAACCGTCCTCTAGAAGGGTGTTTTCTGGCGAATTCGCGTTCATTAATACTAGAAGCCCATTTGGTAACACATTCTTTCGAGTTAGCAGTCTTATCGGTCAACTTTACCAAACACGTAACTTTTTATATTTAGACATACTTTTTTCTACTTGAATTGACTGAATTGCTGAGTTGGGCACGTTTAGCTATTTTTCATTCCAATTTTCCTTATTTTATTAGTAATATATATATATATATATATATAATTTTTCATAATTTAGCGAATTTGACTCTTTCAACCTTTTCAATCAACTTTCATCAATTTCAATAGATTCAGCCAATTTTAGTATTATCAAATGGGCTCTAAATTAGATATTACTTTGTCAATATTATCTGAATATTAACGCTCTCCATCCAACTAAAATTCTTTCATCTTTCTTTTTCGGTCTATCCCACTAAAATGGTCTCGTACCAAATTCGCTAAAATTTGTGTGCTTCTAAATCATTTTTACTTTCCCAATTCAATATTAGCAACATAAACTCACTTTTCCTAATAACCACACAACCACCTCATGTCTCAATGTTATTGGGGCGGGGTATTATTATGTTACACTTTACTTTTTAATGCATTTACATTATATCACATCCAACAAAAAGTCGCTCAAATAATTTAACTTTATGCAATAACTTACAAATAACAACGTTACTTTAGTATTGTAAAGGTTCCACCTACGGTGGGTAATGGGGGGTTGGGGTTGGAGAAAAGTATGATGCAAAAAATAGAGTATAGAGAGATTGTTTCCAGATGACACATGATCAAAATCGTGTCGAAAATTGCAAGAACAAAAATATGCAGATAGTTTAGTGAACCATTTTACTTTATTTCATCCTATTGCCAAGTCAAAAAATAGTGAATCTTAGGGCTCCATTGAAAAGATGGAAACTTTATGTAATAACCTAAAGAACAAAATTGAAAAAAACATTGTGTGCATGATTAAATTACTCATCCTCTTTATTTTAGCCTTAGCGTATCATTATCATGCTTTGCTTGTCTTCCCATCCAAAAAATGCCACAAAAGCTTGTAAACAATATTGTGAGGCCCATAGAGTCAAAACACTTCTTAATATTCATATGATAGGTGCAACAATAGTAAGACCAACCCATGTTTAACCTTGGTATATGGATAGGATTACCTATCAACAACATAGTTGGACCTAATAGGCACGCAATTGTCGTGCCGGGATAGGGGGTGAAGGTGGACTGGGGACGACGTCATTTGGTCCAAGATGATCTATCGGTGGACGTCGCTTGTGATGATCAGTGACACTCTGGTAAGCTATTGCTAATGCCAATGCCTGCATTTTCATAGCACAGGGTTACACATAATTTAGAAGCTGTTCTGTTCGTCTTTTTCTTATTACTTATTGCTTATTCTTATTTTATTCAGATCAAAAAAATTCAAATCAGATCAGAAAGATTCAGATCAGATTAGATCAGATCAGAAAAGTTCAAACATGATTAATCAATTTTATTATAATAATTATAATTATAATTATAATTATAATTATAATTATAATTATACCTAATACAATAATTAAAATCATAGCTAATGATAATTATAATTATGATCATAATTATAATTATAATGATCAGAATTACAACTATTATTCTCATTATGATTATAATTACAGTTATAATTAAGATTATAATGATCATAATTATAATAAGCTCCTATTGGAGTAACCTGATTCATCGTTTCACAAAATTCTGCCGCAGCCAAGCTGTCATCACCGGACTGACTCTGGTTATGTAAGGGAACTCGGGGCAATTTATTATATTAATTAATTAAATTAGGAGTAGAAAGATAATGTTTAGTCCTATTTAGGGAAATAAAAAAATAGTCATACTTTTGGAAGAATGAGTCTTAATTGAGCAATTTCCTCTACTTAAAATAAATAAAAAGTTGTACCTAAGCCAAACATTTCTATTTTGGATGCAGGGAATAGTAATTTTCTAATTCAAGACTAACTAACAGAGACAAATTTAAAAACAATTATTCCTCCATTACCCTCTCAAATCCCCTAATATAACATGTCATGACGCCACTATTATTTGGGAAGCATTTAATCTATACTCCTGTATTAAATAAGTGTCAAAGCAAGCCTAAAAGTGATACTCACAATATGGTCATGGTCAGGTGGAGCATAAATGCCAGTGGTGATTGTAGTTCTTCGCGGAGTATCATTCAAAGGTGAACTAGATATCTTCTTAAACCCAGTTGGGACAACAACCACAGGCATGCCCACGAGATTTCCGACACACACTTTCTCCCAATCAGTTGCATTTCCAATTAAAGCATCCACTTTGAAACTCTCTTTCACTTCCTGAATCAATTTCCATCTAGCTCTTTGTGCCTGATACAAACATAGAATAGTGAGCAGTGAAAAGTGTAGTGTTAACAAGAAACAGTAATATTATGTACCTTGGGTCCAGTTTGGATGGAGGCTTTTGGAAGGGAAGGATTTGGAGAAGTTGGGTTATAGTCTTGGCGAATGGAATGCTTCTTAAATCTCAAATATTATGTCAATGAAATAAAAATAACCTAATACGTTAATCCATCAACCTTTATAAAAGCACAAGTATATATCATGATACATATTTGGCCCTCCATAAAACGACACACACCAAAACCTTTCGTCCAAACTGACCCTTAGTGTAAACAACCACAGTTTAAGATAAAGCTGTTAGGTGCAATTCTAAGTTACGGCCAAGTCAAACATCGCTTAACCATCAGCAATCATCTATCAACACGGCAACACTTAATCCCAACAACCTTGGTGGCATGCAATTTATAATGTCAATTGACTATTCAAAATTCATTAACCCTATAAAAGTTTCAAGGTGGGGATGCCCTTCGTCTTGAAACCCTCTAAAAAGGAATCGTGAAATGAAATTTGAATTGTCATCGTCACATGTCTCTTTCACTTGCTTGAAAAAATGGAAATATTATGATGTCATGGTTATTAACATGTACACCTTTGATCAGTCATTTTAATCTACATGGGCTTCGTAAGGGGTCATCACTTTTTTATCTAATAACTTTAGGGTCTGCTAGTGATGTGGGATTTCACACGACCTGCCGCATCTACACTTTTGGTGAAATTGCTATATCTGTCACGAATTCAATAAAAAAGAAAATATGATCATGACTAGTCGAGTGATCAGCCTCTCAGACCGACAAATTGTCAAATTTTTTCTGCTAGGCTCCCACATGATCACGCTGGTTTCCAGAAATGAGCAAAGCTTCCACGACATTCTATTTCTAGAGAGTTAGAAAACTCCTGAAAAAGACTCAACTACGAGCAAAAGAATTTCTTTTGTATTATGATGCAGGGTCAACAGAAATACAAAAATATATGAGGTACTCATAGGTGATTAAAACACGTCAATGATATCCTAAAGTTACCTAAAATGAAAATATGAAACTTTCAAAACAGGTAGGAATTTAATTACTACACTAATGTGTTTAGCGAATAGCGAGTTATGTTAGCGGGTTGTCAATAGTGCATTCAGTCAGCGGGTTTGACTAGCGGAATGATAGAGCAGCGAGAGCAGGGGGCTGTGTGGAAGAGGAGGGTCCGAGACCCAAGGGCTGTCGGTTTACTCCAGGCGGGAACGGGCTTGAGCCCACCTTCGTGGGCTGACTGCGGGCAATTTAATTAATTTTAATTATTCCTTTTATTTTGTTTCCTAATTTATTTTGTTTCCTAAGTATAATTTAATTAGGACTTCTATTCTCATTAGAATTAGAGGTTTCCTATTTCTATTTAGTTTCCTAGAATGATTTAATTAGGACATCTATTAGAACTAGGGGTTTCCTATTATGATTTAATTAGGATTCCTATTCTTATTAGACCTAGAGGATTATTTATACCCCTTTGTATGCTTCATTCTTGATCATCTTGTTATAAAATTGGTTTTAGCCTTTTGGCTCTGGGCAACGGTATTTTTTTACCGTTGATTATCGGGCAACGGTTTACCCCGTTGATTTTATTTTTTCTGCTTCACAACACGGAATAAGTTGGAAGGTTGCCGGAACATGTTTGGTAAATTAGTTGTCTGGCCATAAAAATTAGTATAAAACGCCATTTTTAAAACGTTAACTTCAAACTCTCCTATTCGCAGCGTTTTCATTTCAGTGGTTCGTCCAAAAACGCTAGGGCCTAACAGCTATTTACCAAATGGCGTTTTCATTTATTGAAAACGCTAAAAGTGATCAAACCGCCATTTTTTTGTTGATACGCCATTTTCCAAGCACCCCCTGCATCTTTTAACATTAATTAGTCCCAACAGCTTGTATGTCAAACAGAACTAAATCAAGCAGTCAGTTTTTTTATCAAACAACTACCACCTTTTTATTCTGAGATCTTTTCAGTCGCTAAAGGCTATCAGTAACTGAAAAGATCATAAAAGTATCTTTTCAGCTAGTTGTGCCAAACATACCCTAAGACTGCGTACATTCGACCCCCTTACCCCCACCGAAGGTGGGAGCCTTTGCGGCACTGAGGTGATGATAATGACCAGAAGAGGGGTAAGGTGTATTATTGTGCCCATGTTGCACCCTCTAGATCTGTCAATAGCAAGCATGGATCCATACGAGTTGAGGGGTAACAATGAGCCATCACTGCAGATGCTTCTCTACCCATTTTATTTAATATAAAGCATTATTCAAATCAACATGGTGCATCTTGCCAACCTCCTCTTAAATGTCTCGATCTAATCCTTCAAAGAATCGAGCAATGGCTCGTTCTTCTGGCTAAATGATGTTAGCACGGATGTTGATGGTATTGGTCTCCTTGAGGTACGTTCTACCACAGCAATATCTTCTCAAGATCATATAGGAATGGAGGTGGCAAAAATCTATCTCGGGGCCTTTTCTTCAACCCATCCGAATTCCAAGTGGTCACAATTCATCCACTGATAGTAACTCGCAAACTTTCTTTCTGTTTTCAATAAAATTGTCATACCCTCAAAGGCAAGCAATTCCCAAACAGACCTTTTTCTCCTCAAAATAGGTATTAACATTAAATACATTATCCAGTTTATCCTCCCACTCCACCAAGCATTTCCCAGGTCCTCCCTCTCCAGCACAGTGTGAAGTCCAAGTCTCAGAGTCGCGACCCACTCATCTCAAGGTTGTACAAAACGTCCCATTCAAGCCTTCAAGGAAAGGTGTAAGTGTTCCTGCGGTGGTGCTGGGAATGTGAGATTCCATCAGAACTAGAAGAGTCCTCATCCTCACCCAAGAATCTTTGTTCACCCCTATGTATAATGACATTAAGGCATTGATCTATATGTTGATGGGTCATGTTCAAGTCGTGCATGTTAATGCGTATTTCATTTATTGAAGTAATGAGATCTGACAATCTGACATGGGGAAATTCATTGGTTGCCCCACTTTGGGTAACTGTTGATATTTTAAATTAAGAAAAATAGGAAAAGATCAACACTAACAAAAGACATTAAGTTGGTAATACCGTAATAAACAAACCCCTAAACTGCCTTCAAAAAAATAGGAAAAGATCAACACTAACAAAAGACATCAAGTTAATAATAAACAACCCCCCCCCCCCCAAACTGCTTCTCCCCACAAAATCCTCACGGTTAACCCTCTCTATTTCGAATGAATATAAAGTATGTAGGGTATTCTCCACTCGCTTACAAAATAATCTCACAAGCCTTTTCAAGTGGACAAGCAGATAGGCTTGAATATTGGAAAAAGAAACATGGTTGTCTATTTTAGGGATGAGAACAATAAGTGAGCTAGACATAGCTCGGGGAATCCTAATACAACAACGACATCCAAGCCTTATTCCTAAAAGATTTTGGGGTCAACTAATATGAATCGATCCATGACATCGGAGGCAAAAAAAGAAGAAAGATAAGAAGAATAAAAAAATAAACTAAGATAAAATGGATAAGATAAAGATAAATATAAAATAAGAATGACAAAAGAACATAAGAAAGATAAAAGAGCATAAAATATATAAAAGATAAAAGTAACATCAGAACAATAGAATGATAAAGAAGATAAAAGATAAGAAAAAGAGAGAAGAGAGAAAAGAGATCAATCTTCCACCTAAATATGCTCTCCATTTTGCTCTCTCCAAAGCCATACTCTCATCCTATCCAAGAAGAAGCATATCCGTTCTGATTCCTCTAATCCCAGTTTCGGTCTTCCTCTCCCTCCCCTCCCCGCCTCTTCTCCCCACCTCTCAAGTCGTATAACAGGTGCATCACTCGGTCTTCTGCGCACATGACCAAACAACCGCAATCGAGACTTCTACATCTTATCTTATATAGGTGTTACTCCTACCTACTTGTTTAATCTCAGAAAGCTTCAGAAAGAATTGAGAAAATGCAGCATAATATAATGATCTAGGCATTTGCTGACACTCGATCTTTTTATCAGTGTTTATATAAAGACCAAGACGCATGTCATTTTCCTTTCCTCGTGTAGCATTTTCAGGGATCCAAACATACCTGAATATAATCCACTGCAGATATAACTCGTGCTCGCTGAAGCTCAAGGGGCCACTGGTCATGAGCCTCATACTCATCATCCTTGTTTGATCGCTGCCATTCATCGAAATGAGACAGCATATCAACATCCATTGTAAAATTAAGTATGCCTTGTGCTGACTCAACAGTGTAGTTTAGTTCGAATGGAATCATTTTGACTCCTTTTGTCAAAAGTACATCAACAACCTGCAAGTGCAGTAATAAACTTGAGACAAATAAACCATGTTTCCGTGTATTTACTACACTGGAGAGCCTGACAATCCTACCCAAATCACTGAGTTAGCTACCCGACAGGTTTCCATTATGTTAATACCTTTATTGGTTTTTTAAATAACATCAAACCCAGTCTAGCCTTAGTCAGCTATCAGCGGATATCAAGCAGAAAGTGGATTGTGCTAAAAGGGTTATCGGTTAACAGATAGCAGATGTATAAGGCAAAATTGACAATTTACTATTCACTAATACTCCATCCATCCATCCATAAAAATCATGTTTCTAACAGTTCATTTTTTCAAAAACAGGAGTCCATCTTGATCAAGCATGTTCGTTTCCATGAAAGTTGTCAAAATTATTGCCGAAGAGTCCTTGACAAGTTACATATGAATTACTCACACTTACACATCAATTTTCAAAAAAATAAAAGTCTGATTGATGGTTTATGACAGTCGTAATTTCCAACCAAAATTTAAATGTTCTACATTGGTCAAGAAAGACACTTTTTTGGAGTGGAGGTAGTCAATTATTCATATTCAAAGTGATAAGATAATGGATTAGGGATTGTGAGTCAAAATATATAGAAACATGGTAATAAAGCACTCAGGCAGAAAAGGAGTGCCTGAATCTAGCAGGAGGAGAGTACCAACATTTCTACAGTGGTTTATAGATAACCAAATCAAATTTATTTATTTACCTCCATATCAGCATCCTTTAGATACCCAACAGTGAGCATCTTGACATCAACCAAAAATGGATCAGACAGTGGAATATCCCTGGACGACGGATCATTAGGGTCCTTACCCCGGATTGCATCCAAAATGATCGCACAATCTGCAGCATCTCGACAGAAAGGGCCTAATTTGTCCTATTGAATACACAGTGGCTTATATTTGATTTTTCCATCTCCAGTTCAAGGGCAAAAAAAAGATTGGATAGCTGAGTAGAATAGTGTAGAACGGTTAGTATACCAGGCTCTCGGATATGCTCATAACTCCAGTTCGACCGACCGATCCAAAAGAAGGACGAATGGCAGTGACACCACAACGGGAAGCAGGATAGGTAATGGACCCCGCTGTTTCTGAACCAATTGCAAATGGTACTAAACCTGAATGATGACAGTCAGTTGGAGGGCTTCCTTTTGACTTCAATATGGTGTTCTAAAACTCCCTGCCAAAGGCATTCCTTGATGGCGTCTAATTTTTTCTCTACTTCAGTCCCATCAGACTTGCCTAGTCTATTTATTTTTATAAATTTTTTAGGTTAGCAGATTTTTCACATTTGATATTTTGTGTCGATAACTTTCTATGCTCTAACAATTCCCATAAGCTGCCCATCTAGGCTGGCTAGGCTGGACCAGCCTTTCAAGTTCTAACTTAATAGACAGACTGATTATGATTTGACTACAAAAGACCAGCCCAAGCCCACTATTATGGGCTGGTTTAGCCCAGACCGTTACCGATCCCTATGCTAATGTTTTTGAGAATCCTATCTACATTGCTCGTGGTGCGCATTGGCGTCCCTGCACAGTGAGGATTCGGGGAAGGACCCTACCACAAGAGTGTATAAGTAGCAGGCCCTCCCTTGTCAAGTTTGACAAGAGGTCACTTCCAAGACTTGAACTTGCGACCTCTCTTCACACAGAAACACCGTACCCGGTAAGCCAAGGCGCCAAGGCGCCAAGACTATGTGCATTGAGAAGAATAAAACTTTGCCTCGAAGATACCTGCAGAGGTGCAAGCAGCGGGTCCCGCTGATGAACCGGTGGAAAATTCATGAATATTCCATGGGTTTCTTGTCCTTCCACCGAACCAGATGTCATCGTATGCTAATGATCCTGTGACCAGCTTTGCTACAAGCACTGCCCCAGCAGATCTTAACCTATACTCACCAAGGATATATATGACAACTATGAGCAAAATAACATACCTTTATAAAGCTTTCTCTTAACACTTTATGTAGAAAATGTTACATTTATTTCTTAATTATTGTGTGTACATAATTACCGGATACATTAGATTAGAAGACTGATCTATTAAATCAGATTAGAAGCTGTTGCTTATTGATAAGATTGTAGTTAGTCAGATCCTAAAAAATAGGATCTACTCTGGTAGTTTGTTACTTGTACATCCTGTATTTATACCCCAGCCGATTGGCATATTCAATCAAGGAATTTTATTCCCAAAACCTACATGGTATCAGAGACTTGAATTTACACATCTCAAATGGTGGAATTCGAACACTCTGACTCATCTCCCTACTCACAAACCAGTAACCCTAACTCCCATATTAGCTCAATGGCAAACTATCAGGCCTCGGTTAATTCATCTATGCTCATCACTGGGCATAGATTGAATGGAAGGAATTACATAGAGTGGTCACAGTCTGTCAAGTTAGCAATTGATGGCAAGGGCAAACTGGGATACCTAACTGGTGAAATCAAAGAGAAAAAAAGTGGTGAAGATGGCTACAGTGTCTGGAGGTCAGAAAACTCACTTGTTACAGCATGGCTTCTCAGTTCAATGGATGCATCAATCGCCAAACCTCATGTTTATGAAAACTGCAAAAGAGGTATGGGACTCTATTAAGGAAACTTATTCAGACCTTGAAAACTCTTCTCAGATTTTTGAACTCAAAACCAAGTTGTGCCAGTCTAAACAAGGAAATAGGGATGTCATTTCATACTACAATGAAATGGTATATCTATGGCAAGAATTAGATCAATGCTATGAGGATGAAGAATGGGAAAGTGCCAAGGATCTGGCAAGACATAGGAAAAGAGAAGAGAATGATAGGGTCTATATGTTTCCAGCAGGAATTAATAGGGACCTGGATGAAGTAAAGGGCAGAATACTCGGAAAAAAACCTTTGGCTTCAATTAGAGAAGTTTTTTCTGAGACCAGGATGAAGACAGTAGGAAGAAGGTTATGTACAACACTCCAGTACATAATGAGGAACCTAGAGACTCTTCAGCAATGGTGGCCAGAAGTGATGACAAGAAAAAACCCTGGTGTGATCACTGTAAGAAATTATGGCACACTAGGGAGACTTGCTGGAAAATTCATGGGAAGCCTCCAGGAGCGGGAAAGAAGAAGGCTCTACAAGCAACTGTGACTGAAACTCAACAGGAGCCACAAATCAATTTCCAGCAGCCTTCCTTCACAGAGGAACAGATAGAGCAACTCCTTAGCCTTCTAAATACTCAGAAAAATTCCAAACCTGAAACTTCCTCTTGTTCTTATGCCCAGAATGGTACCATTTCATCATTTTTCTGTTCTGGAAAACCTAAAAGTACCTGGGTCATTGACTCAGGAGCTACAGACCATATGACTTCTATTCCAAATCTTTTCTTTTCATATAAGCCCTGTGCAGGGGACAAAAAGGTCAAAGTGGCAGATTGCTCTTTTTCAGCCATTGCAGGGATGGGAAATATTAAAATTTCCTCATCTGTAAACCTCTCTAAAGTCCTACATGTCCCTAATTTATCCTGCAATCTTGCCTCTGTTAGCCAGTTAACTAAAGACTTACAGTGTCGTGTTATCTTTTATCCTTCTTATTGCATTTTTCAGGACCTGGCATCGGGGAAGATGATTGGCAGTGCTAGGGAGGAAGATGGACTCTATATCTTTGATGAAGGAACTCAATCAAATAAAAGAGGTCAAAGAAATTTGCAAACTATTTCCTTTTCAAACAATAAAGAGTTGTATTTACTTCACTTTAGACTAGGACATCCCAGTTTTTATTATTTAAAAAAGATGTTTCCTCAATTATTTTTGAATAAAGATGTCTCTGTGTTTCATTGTGATATATGTGCACTTGCAAAACATCACAAAAGCTCTTATATTCCCCAGAGTTATAAACCCACTAGCCCTTTTACTTTGGTACATAGTGATATTTGGGGTCCATCTAGAGTATCAACTATAAAGGGAAAGAGATGGTTTGTAACTATTATTGATGATCATACATGGGTTTTTCTAATCAAAGAAAAATCTGAAGTGGAAAAGGTATTTAGGGATTTTTATGCTATGGTCCAAACTCAGTTCAATACCAACATTAAACTGGTAAGAAGTGATAATGGCTTGGAATATTTTTCTCAAAACCTAAATAACTTTTTTACTGAGAAAGGAATAATTCATCAAAGCTCTTGTGTCAATACACCAGCTCAGAATGGAATTGCAGAAAGGAAGAATAGACATTTACTTGAAGTCACTCGTGCAATCATGTTTTCAACAAAAATACCAAAATATCTGTGGGGGGGAAGCTGTTTTACATGCTACTTATTTAATTAACCGCATGCCATCAAAAATTTTAGGATTTAAAAGTCCTATCAATACTCTTCAGCAGTACTTTCCTTCAAACAGATTGATAAGTACTCTTCCACTGAAAATTTTTGGTTGCACAGTGTTTATAAAAAATCCAGAAAAATCTGCAAGTAAGTTTGATCCTAGAGGAACAAAATGTGTTTTTTTAGGTGTTTCTTCCACTCAAAAAGGGTATAAATGTTTTGACCCTACTACCAAAAAAATGTTTATTACAATGGACACTTTTTTTGTGGAAGATAAAGCTTTTTTTGATACTCATCTTCAGGGGGAGAGATTAAGTGAAGATGTTCAAATAGTGCCACATATTCATGAAAACCTTAATTTTCTTGATATTAATCTGGATGATCATTCCTTTAATGGAAGAACATCTGAAAATGATCAAGAATTAACAACTAATGAAATAAATACAACTGAACCAATTGGAAAGGATCAACAGACAAGTCAATTCTTTGGCAAAGTTTATGAGAGAAGAGTTCAAAATCAAAGAATAGAGGAAGTCCAAGAACCTACAACTGTCTATGATTCTGACCCTATGCCAGAGAATGAAAAAGGTAATGCTTCTAGTCATCTTGATCTTCCAATTTCCCTCGGTAAGGAAAGAAGAACATGTGTTAAATACCCCATCTCAAACCATGTTTCTTATTCTAAATTATCCTCATCTTTTGCAACCTTTACTTCCAGTGTTTCTTCTATTTCTATTCCCTCAACCATACAGGATGCTCTATCTAAACCTGAGTGGAAGAAAGCTGTTTTGGAGGAGATGGAAGCTCTTGAAAAGAATCAGACATGGAAGCTTGTAGAGTTGCCCAAAAGCAAACCAACAGTTGGTTGCAGGTGGATTTTCACTCCTAAATTTAAAGCAGATGGATGTTTGGAGAGATATAAAGCAAGGTTAGTAGCTAAGGGGTACACACAGACCTATGGCATTGACTACTCAGAAACCTTTGCACCAGTTGCAAAGTTGAACACTGTAAGAATTCTTTTATCTCTTGCTGCTAATTTGGACTGGCCACTGCAACAATTGGATGTAAAGAATGCTTTTTTAAATGGAAAACTTGAAGAAGAAGTATACATGAAACCTCCTCCTGGATTTGAGAATAAATTTGGTTCAAAGGTTTGCAAATTAGAGAAAGCCTTGTATGGACTTAAAAAGTCACCAAGAGCTTGGTTTGATAGGTTTACAAAGTTCATAAAGAAGCAAGGTTTTAATCAGGCTCAAGCATACACTATTCATGAAGTTTTCAGGCAAGGGGGAGATTGCAATATTAATTGTCTATGTAGATGATATTATCCTCACAGGAAATTATCATACAGAGACTAAGAACTTGAAAGAAAAACTTGCCCATGAATTTGAAGTTAAGGACCTAGGAGACCTAAAATACTTTCTGGGAATGGAGATGGCTAGATCAAAGAAGGGTATTGTTGTCTCACAAAGAAAGTATATCTTAGATCTTCTGCAGGAAACTGGAATGAGTGCATGCAAACCAGCAGACACTCCAATTGACCCCAGTCAGAAGTTGGGAGATATTAAGGAAGGAACTCCGGTTGATATTCACCAATATCAAAGATTGGTGGGAAGATTAATATATCTAGCACATACAAGGCCAGATATTGCATTTGCAGTAAGTATGGTGAGTCAGTTTATGCATCATCCTTTTCAAGAACATCTTGATGCTACTTACAGGATTCTAAGGTTCCTGAAGAGCTGTCCAGGGAAAGGATTGTTTTTCAAAAAGGGGAACAGTAGGAGGGTTGAAGCCTTTACTGATGCAGATTATGCTGGCTCAATTACTGATAGAAGGTCTACTTCTGGATATTGCACTTATGTATGGGGAAATCTAGTAACTTGGAGAAGTAAGAAACAAAATGTAGTTGCTAGAAGTAGTGCAGAATCAGAATTTAGATCTATGGCAAATGGAATATGTGAATTACTCTGGATCAAGAGAGTAATTACAGAACTGAAGATGGAAATAGAACTGCCTATGAGACTGTATTGTGATAATAAAGCAGCCATTAGCATTGCTCATAATCCTGTGCTACATGATAGAACCAAGCACATTGAAGATTGAAGTGGACAGACATTTCATTAAAGAGAAGATTGAAGCTGGAATTGTTTCCACACCATTCGTATCCACTAAAGACCAAACAGCTGATATCTTCACCAAAGGGTTATTTAAACCAGTGTTTGAACTACTTATAGACAAGTTGGGAATGTATGATATATATTCACCAACTTGAGGGGGAGTGTAGAAAATGTTACATTTATTTCTTAATTATTGTGTGTACATAATTACCGGATAGATTAGATTAGATCAGATTAGAAGCTGTTGCTTATTGATAAGATTGTAGTTAGTCAGATCCTAAAAAATAGGATCTGCTCTGGTAGTTTGTTACTTGTACATCCTGTATTTATACCCCAGCCGATTGGCATACTCAATCAAGGAATTTTATTCCCAAAACCTACACTTTAGGCACTAGTGCATGCTACAATAAAATACTGCAAAGATAAATGAGCAATCAAATGGAAGAAAGAGGAGTGATAGCTCATTGATTTTATTCTAATTTGATTTAATATCTTTATTAGTCGCTCTATTATAGGATGTGATTTGCTAGGATTTCCCTTTCCTTGTTTTAGAAATTTACATGCATGTGATCCCCAATTCAAAAGGCAGCTTTGCTATGAAAAAGAATTAAAAGAAAATCCAGGAGAGGAGAAGAAAAACTTCCCCAAATTCAAACGGACGAGGATAACTCCATAAAATCTACCGCCCCTTCATGTTTATCCTTATAATTCATTCCCGTGACGCAAAGAATCCCGGTATATAAACCTTTGGTTCCGTTGCTGGTGTCATGGGAAATTTCACAACACTTGCCACTGATCAGTACATGTTCCTTCCAGAGATACTGACAAGCAAAGGTCACAAGCTTCAAGATGCAGTGCAAAAGGTGCAGCAAGTACTGCAGCCATTATAGGAGTCGGTTCAGAAAATTTCTAACCAGATTGCCTTTCTAAGTCAGGCAATGAAGCACGCCCTTCTGTAAGCACTTCATCTACACTCTACTGAAGTTCTGCCTCAACTACCATCGGTGTGGCTTCCAACACAGCAACTCCAAGAGCCAACATTTTCCACAAAACCTATAAACATATAAAGCGGACTGCCTTGTCTGATAAACTTCCCAGAACAAACTACTTTTGCACTTTCCAGTTCCTTTTAGGTCCACTAAAAGCGTCCCAGTTTTCCAATGTATTCAAAGAGAATTTTTAATGGTTGTCGGTGCAATCATTCAATGTTCAAGATTTCAAGCTTGATGCCAAGCTTGATTTTCCAAGAGGGGTGCAATGGAGCATGCTAAAAAGGAAAGAGTAATTATGTAATAGATCTCCTAATTAAATCTAGGGAATCAGATTATGATCAGAGCAAATATTTTAATAATCAACTAAATATTTTAATATTTCTACACTTTCCCTCAAGCTGGTAAATGATATCTGGTGAATAGATATCTACCATTCCTAGCTTGCAAGTAAGTTCTCAAAATCGCTTTACCGGAAGTCCTTTGGTGACCACATCAGGCCCACTGAAGCCCCGAAGGAACTTATTGTATAGAAATAAGACCAATGTCCAGTTTTTCCTTGATGAAGTGTCAGTCTAGTTCTGTGTTTTGTTGTGTCGTGCTGAACTGGATTATGAGCAATACTAATAGCAGATTTATTATCACAGAAGAGTCTTGTCAAAGCTTTACACAGTATTTTTAGTCTCCCAAAATGATCTTCACCCATAACAATTCACAAACACCTTGAGCCAAGGCTCTGAGTTCTACTTCTGTACTTGATCTTGCAACTACACTCTGCTTCTTGCTCCTCCATGTCACCAAATTTTGGGATGAACTATGTTCAGTACTCAAAGCATTAAGGGATAAGAAGGTATAATGCTTATCAATCATTGTTAGAGAACAATTACCAGAAGGCATACTCAACGAGTCTATAGGCGCTCTTAGACGCTCAAATCTGCTTTGGTAAGGTTGGGGATATCTTCTTTTGGTGATATAGGTGAATTGCCTTCAATTTCCATGTTAGCAGTTGTGTGATTTGCACACCTCTGACTAACACTTTTGGATCCGCTCATCCATCCAAGAAATTTATCCCTTCTATGCAGTTTGAAACATGTATCCTTAATATGGCAAAAATTTGTACGGTGGCTGCACCATCGATCTTCACGATTGGGCTTCAAAAGAAGGGCCTCCCAAAGTGAATCCTTGTATGGAACCCTTTCGAGTGCCTAAGGCTCAACCATCAACTGATTGTTCTTCTATCATCAAAGTCCTACTTTTTTCACCACGAACGAAGTGAAAGACCTCCGAAAGAGATAATAGTTTCTTAATACTCAAAATTTGAACACTGATGGAGTTAATTTCTGAGTTAAGCCCAAAGAGAAACTTAAGTATCTGTCCTTTTTCAATAAACTGGGTCAGTGTAGTAGAGTTTTCATCACAATTCATTGTCAAACTTTGGTACTGATCTAAGTCGATCCATAGGCCATTTAGAGTGGACATAATAGTCAATCACAGAGAGATTTCCTACTTAGTATTAAAAACTTCTTTTCCAATTCATAACATGTTGAGAGATCTTGTTTCATGGAATATGTCTCTTCCGGATTCTTCTAAATGTCCCCAGCAATAGCAAAAACGATAAAATTACTACTTACATCCGGAGTCATAGAGTGCTAAAACCAGTCATGTTGAGACTCCTGAGAGAATCCACACCAACCCATGTTTCATATTGTGGATCTCTCTCAGCAGGGACTTTGCCTTCGCTGTGACTAATCCTCTTACGTCCTCTAAGAGTGGTACGAACAAGTTGGGCCCATTAAAGATAGTTGCGCCCATCTAACTGGTATGACCCTTGCAATATTGGGAGGTCATTGTGGGTCAACGATGGAAGAGAGGCATAGTGAAGAAAGAGAATACCACACTAGCAAAGTGGCATTTTCGAAGAAGGAAAAAATCACCTCTCGAACAGAACCTAGAGGAGCAGCTTTCTGGTAGTAATTTTGTTACAAGAACGACCTTTTATTGTGTGTGTGAACGGAAGCAGAGCCCCTAGAAACGTGAAGCTCTGATACCATCTTGAAGAATAGAATTTATTTCTCAAGTGTAAAATACAACAGGTAATTACATTTTATAGGCCTGGACTAAGTTAATAAAGCAAAAGTAATTATGTACAAGATCTCCTAATACTTACAAATCTTCTAATTGATTCTAAGAAATCAAAGTATGATAAGAACAAATCTTATAATAATCAATTAAATATTCTAATATCTCTACACTAAACTATAATATTATGGAAAGATAAAAGAGCAACTGAGTAGATGAATGAGGAGTGATAGATCATTGTTTTGCTTGATTGATTTTATTTTGATTTAATTTTAATACCTTCATTAGTTAATCTGATTTAGGAAGTGATTTGCTAGGATTTCTTTTTCCTGTTTTAGGCATTTACATGCATGCAATCCATGTTACGAAAAGAACCTGTGCTATGCAAATAAGATATCCAAGAAAGAAGGAAAAGAAATCCAAGGAGAAGGGAAACCCTCCAAACTCCAAAGGAGAAAGAAAACTCCCTTAAATTTCATCGCCCCTTCGCGTTTATCCTTTTGACGCAAAAAAATCCCCATGCATAACAAACACTTTCAGTTCTCAGTACCTTTTATAAACCCATGCTTCAATATCAAGAGTCTGATTAATATAAGTTTTGGATCCCCATGTTGTCTTGTACTGAGGGACTGAAATAATATCCTTCAAACCATAAGGAATCCCATGAAGAGCACCTGTCCCCGTGAAAAACCTTAAACCTATTACTCAACACTTGCAAAACAAATTACAGAGCATATTCAAAATGACACTATCTACATCCCTTTTTATTCTCTTGTTTTGACTAAGCATGTTTTTAGAAAATAGAAACCGTGTGGTTGCAAATTGTTTAGAGGAGAGACATAAGATCAAGTATAAACCTCTTTCCTTAAAGGGAGGGAAAATATAATCTAAAACGAACGAGAAAAAGAAAAGAATGAAGATAAAATGTGATTATTCTCGTGATACAACTAAAAATGGATAGATGAGCACTTCTACTAAGTATGAGATCATACGGAACCAAGTTCTTTTGTTTCCCCACATCGGCCCACCCCACCCACGAACCAAACATACGCTAAGACTATGTATGAAACTTGGGAAATGGTTGGGGAAGAATGTAACATATGAGCTAAGGAAAAGTGTTTTATGAAAAAATGACAAAAATATTACTCCCTCCGTCCTGCTAAAATTGTCTCATTTTACCATTTCGGTCCGTCCCACTAAGATTGTCCCTTAACAAATTTGGCAAAGTTTGTGTGGCTCTAAATCATTCTTACTTTATTCTTACTTTATCAATTCAATATCAACCACATAACCACTTTTTATTAGTTTGCGTGCCACTTCCTCTTGTCCCATTGGTAGTGGGACGGAAGGAGTACTATTGGCTTCTCCTTAGACATGAATATGACTGATTTTTAATTTGGACAAAGGACTAATTTTATTTGAACCGACAGAACTGGAACTACCCCTGATATATATAGAACAACAGTAAAACCCTAAAACCCTAAAATCATTTTGTGTTGTCCCGCCTCTAGCGTTCTGAGGTGTCGCCTGCCTAGCCATCCGAGATCTAAGCGCTGCCGCAACCCAATCGGCACCGCCAACAATCACCTCAACCACGCTTCTACTCTAACCATCCCTGCCGCATGCCATCCCTGCATTCTTCTTCTATTTCTTTGTTCGGTGATTGGGGATGGAATCGGTAAGATGACAACTGTGTGCTAGGTCGCCGTTGATGTTGAACGTGAGGGAGGAGCGGGGTCTTTCCATAGGAACGATGCAACGTAGGACTACGGTTTCGGTCGGACCGTTGGGGAAGGGAGTCGATGAAGGGGCAGGGAATGCCGTGGTGGTCGAAACGTTGATGGGGGGTATTGGGACGGGAGAGGGGGCAAGGGTTTGGGAGGAGGTGCGGAGCCTGGGAGGGGGCTGGAGAGGGGGGAAGGGGCTGGAGAGCTAGGGAGGGGGGTAGGAGCTGGGGGAGAGGTCTGGCAAGCTGGAGAGGGGGGCCAGGGGCAGAAGGCGGTGTCACCCACTAGGGTGATGGTTGCAGTGCCGGAGGCGGTGGGGTGGCAGGGTGCTCGTGGTTTGGCGGAGATAAGATGAAAGATAAGATGAAAATTAAGTCACTGTGCAAAAAAATAAGTAATTGGGAGGTGAGGTAACTGTCATTGTGCCGGTGAAGTAACTGTGACTAGTCGGTGGTGGCCGGCGGTGGTTGCAGGCTGGCATGTCACTGTGGTCAGCGACAGGGTTGGTCTGTGACCAGCAATGGTCACTGCCTGGGTGCTGCCCGAATGGTCACTGGGATAGTGGTCACTGACTGAGGTCACTGTGGCATTACACTAGAATTAGTCAATGGATTATATTAGTATAAGGGTATAAATGGTGATAGAGAGCATAGAGCAGAGCACGGAGAGCAGGGGCCTTACGTAAGAGGAGGGTCCGAGCCCACCTTTGTGGGCTGGTTGTGGGCTGGGGTGTTAGTTTGGACCTGTTATTAGTAGAGTATTTAGTAGAGTTAATTTGGGCTCGATTAGGGTTTCTATTGAGTCTGTTACTTAAAGGGTATTACCCCTTGTTAGGATTCATTCTTGCTCATCAGTTAATAAAACTGGATTTCAGCCTTTTGGCTCTGGGCAACAGTTTCTACCGTTGACTATTCTGGGCATCGATTTATTTCGTTGATTTTTATTTTCTGTTCTCATCGATTGGTCCGACCTGCCGGATCACGTCCCGCTGGAATGACGAGATCTCACAGCGATTGCTTGACAGAGATGGGGGTCGAGCAAACCTGGATGAACCAGACATTGGAGGAGCACAGCCTCCAATTAGCCGAGGTCACCACTTCACTAGCAGCGCTCACCAAGGCAATCGTACCACCGACCTCGATGGAAAATCCGTCGGCCATCGTCTCCAACGCCGCGGATTCGACCACAACGGCGAAGGACATCCGCACAGCTCCATATCCACCTTGCTACCATCGTTCGAGGAAGAGGACCCGATCGAGCGGATGGCTAGGGTTGAGCAACAGTTTGAATTAAATGGACCCCACCGGAGAGAAAAGTGGCAACTGCTATGGTTGCCATGGAAGGGGTTGGCCTTTATTGGGTGACCTGGCTGAGAGCGCGCAAACCAGGGAAGAATTCGCACAAGCATTGGTGGCTAGGTTCGACTCCCAATTCAAGGGCAGCAGGTTCGAACGGCTGTCGAAGTCAAACAAATCGGTACAGTAGAAGAATACAACACTCATTTGTTCAATTGGCCAGTCAGGTTCCCGGACTGTCCGGTGATCATTACTTGGGTTATTTCATGAACGGACTGAAGGTACCGATTCATGGATCCTTACGGTTGCTGCTGCCAAACAGCTTGGAGATAGCAATGGAATTGGCGAGATATATTGAGGACAATCTGTCCTTTCAAGATGGAGATATGGAAAGCCAACCCTACAATACGGAATTGCGTTCGGGCAATTTTTCGCGTCTAAGTCGGGGATACAGCACGGCCATGAGTGGTGACAGCATAAGGGGATCGAGTGGCAGGTTTCCTACAGATATTGGGCAACCCCTAGGGACAAATTCAAGGTTGTCCGGGCAGTCTACGGCACGCTCTAGGTTCACTCGACTTCCGCCGAAGGTGTTAGAAGAATTGTGGGCAAAAGGATTATGCTTTCAGTGTAAGAAACCATTTACACCAGGGCATGACTGCCGTTACGAGTAACGATAGCTGAGGAGGATGAAGCGTTGGACCTCCAATAGCATGATTATTGTGAAATAACCGGCTAGAAAGAGGTTCAAAAAGGCCAGAGAGGTTCGGAAGGAGATGAGGGATATTTTCTCCTCTATTCTATGACTGGAATTTTTAGCCCCCAAACTTTGAGACTCCGAGGAGTGGTAGCGGGATGCACGAAGACCATTCTGATAGACAATGGCGCAAGCCACAACTTTATTTCATCATCTTTGGTTTCCTTATTACGATTGCAGTCAGACAAGACATGCAGATGACATGCAAATTTGGGGTGCAACTGGGAGATGGGCATAGACAAAAGTTGGAGGGTGTGTGTAAACAGCTTCCTAAGCACATTGCCAGGGTGTGCTGTTGAGGCAGATTGCTATGTGTTTGCCTTGGGCAGGATTGACATCATTTTGGGAGTAGCTTGATTGGTCACGTTGCGAGAAGTACGGACCAATTAGAAAACATTGACTATGAATTTTGAGTGGGGTGGTAGTCAAGTCGAGTTAAGGGGTGACCCGGTGATTAATAACGAGAGGTGTGCTTTTGAGTGTCTCAAGGATGATGCTACTTGGATGAGTAAAGAAAGTTCTATGACCCAGTTTTCAGATTTCAACCTTAAGAACAAGGTTATTTTGAAAGAGGATGGATTGATAGAGAGCGGGGAGAGCAGGGGGGCTGTACAGAAGAGGAGGGTCCGAGATCCAGGCCTTTATCGATTTTCTGCAGGCGGGAACGGGCTTGAGCCCACCTTTATGGGCTAGTTGTGGGCTTCGGTTTTACTTTTAATATTATAAAGTTTATGTTATGTTTTCTAGTTTGGGCCTGTTATCAGTAGAGTATTTAGTAGAGTTAATTTGGGCCTAAATGAGGTTTACTTAATTTGGACTCGATTAGGGTTTCTTCTGAGTCTGTTACTAGAAGGGTATTTATACCCCTTGTTAGAATTCATTCTTGGTCATGAGTTAATAGAATTGGATTTTAGCTCTGGGCAACGATTTCTACCGTTGATTATTCTGGGCAAGGATTTATTTCATTTGTTTTTATTTTCCGTTCTCATCAAATGGTCTCTTAGTCTATTTTTAGTATCATTTTTGGAAACTAAAAAAAAGGTCACTTTTTTGTCCATAACTCTTTTTTAGTAATATTTTTTACATAACCCCTTGTTTTATTTATGTTTAGTTCCGAACTTGGATAACATGAGCGAAATCATATATGATTAGGACTTTACAAGATTTACAATCCTCATACAGAAAATATAAATAAAAATATAATATATTTATTCAATTTGAACCAACTTTTCATCACCCACCTGTTTTTCTCTTCCAAATTTCCCATCTATGTCCTTCGTTACTTTCTTTCCTTGGCATCTTCCAGTGTATCCTAAGTTTGTGATAGGGAGTGTATCCTAAGTTTGTGATAGGGATACAGCTGTACTTAATAAAGAAGATAAATACTATGGCCGAGTATAATGTAGAAGGAATACATAGACTAATTAGTTAATAGCTAACAACAGAATTTAACTATCAACTAATTAGTCTATTTATTCCTTCTACAATATACTCGGCCATAGTATTTATCTTCTTTATTAAGTACAGTTGTATCCCTATTAATACTCCCCCCTTAAACATCCACCTTGCCCTCAAGGTGGATGATAGGAAACAGCAAGATCTTCTGCTTCTTCTTCTTCCTTGCGCCTCTTCCTTCCAAATATCTAACTGGTTGATGGACTAGGGACTTCAGTACGAGATCATTTAAAATCACAGAACTTTCAGCAGTAGAAGAAATGCCAATATGATCTTAATGAGGTGCGGGGCTTTGCATCTGAAATTCGTTGGGCTTCCCTTTTCCGGGTCCTGTGTCCCGGCGTTTTTGTGCAATAAACCCCTCCGGCCGAAGACTAGTGGTAGGTGGTCCTGCGGAGCTTTCGGAAAAGGGTAGCCTAGTGTGTAAGCACAGCAATGAACCGCGGCAAACCCTCAGACGACCTACTGAAATTACTACTGTACTGGATGCAAACTTTTTTCTTTACCTTTCAACCTCTCCCTCTTTAAATTCTTTGCCTACCTCATTTGAGAAGGAAAACCTCATTAGCAAGCAAGTAATGAGATGCATAATTCCAGCTGCAGTTCTCATAACTAAAGAACAGGAAAGCTTATCTCTCATGTAAAACTTCCAAAGTTGGTTTTCTTGCAGATAAGCAGATTCTTCACCAGAAGAAAACATTGCCATTTTCAAGCCTTGTTTCAATTTCACCTGTTCATTGGCTTCAGTATATTGTCCCACATGAACTCCCACTGTTTTCTTATTGATAGAATTTGTAATTCTGAGTTCTCTGGACAAAGGACCAACCCATAAGTGAGTAGGTGAATCAAGGGTACAAGGACCTTTTCCATTCCGAGGTATGAGAGCAAAGGAAGCAATTGAACCACTCTTATCTTTGCATACAACAGTCCCAAGTATATTCTTTATATTTTCCATACCTTCCGGATTTTCTTGTGGATAACTCCTAGGTTGCATAATACCATAACTTGTATCTAATTCCAGATCTGAAGATGTAGCTAGCTTCAACTCAGTGTTCTTTGTCAATGATGAAGTTCCCCTTAAATCCTTTTCTTGAATCGACTAAGTTTATGGCTCCTGAAATAGATGACACCTGTGAACGCCTTAGGAGTCCAGCAACTGAGCCCGCTTCGGGTCCTCCTGTAACAGTAGATTGCTCCTTCTTTTCCTCTTCCGGCAGTTTCTTGATTATTGATTCAGAGGACTTCAACTGGGTATTCTTTGTCGACTGGTGATAATCTTGCGCAGGTTGAGAAACGGCCAGCGAAAGCACTTGCAAACATGAATATTTCTCTCTTGATCGCGTTTTATTCTGATGCGAATAGATCACGGATAAAGGTGCCGGCGGACTGAGGCCGGTTGTTGCCGTTGGTTGCGAACTAAAAGAAACAGTTCGCGATTGCGAAATAGGAGAAACAGTTCGTGATTCCGTTTGTGAACTTGTGAGCGATTGGGACGAACTTTGTTTGTCAGATAGCGAAGAGCGATGTGAAAAGCGATGCAAAGAGCTATGTGAAGAGCGATGCGAAGAGCGATGCGAAGAGCGATGCGAAGAGCGATGCGAAGAGCTATGCGAAGAGCGATGCGAAGAGCGATGCGAAGAGCGATGCGAAGAGCGATGCGAAGAGCTATGCGAAGAGCGATGCGAAGAGCGATGCGAAGAGCTATGCGAAGAGCGATGCGAAGAGCGATGCGAAGTGTGCGATCTGCTCATCGATCTGTTCTGGTATTTACTAATCAGGGTCGCGATTCTCTCCTGTATGTCCGCTAGGATCACCATATTCTTATGCATAGTTTTCTCCAGCTTGCTTAATCGTAAATCCATTTGCGCAGAGTAAAGATTATCCACAAAGATCGACGATGCTCTGAGACCACTGATAGAACAAGTCTAGGTATCCAGAATTGAACAGGAAAGCAAAGTAAGAATTCAAGAAAAGAACCAGAGTTTTATTAATGGTGATCGAGTTACAGCCAAGTCCCAACGAGAGAGATGATTAATCTCAATCTTCCCAGCATAGACTAAACAGTCAAACAGCCTGCCTTCCCCTTCCCAGCCTTATTCTATTTATAAGCTTCCCAACTAACTGAAAGTAGTTAATAGCTAACAACAGAATTTAACTATCAACTAATTAGTCTATTTATTCCTTCAACAATATACTCGGCCATAGTATTTATCTTCTTTATCCCTATCAGTTTGCCGCAAGTGAGAATTTACTGAATTTTATGCTCATAGGCCTAAAGAGTCACTAAAGAACCAGAAAACACAATCTGAAAACCTTTTTTATTTGCTAGCATGATTAGTGTAGTAAAGCACCCTTAATCACGTCAGCAGAAAATAATAGACTAACCTTTCCTCCTCACAAAGAAAACACAAGTAAATAAATAAGAAGTACTTATATACCCAAATATTCTCCTTTTGCAAGCAGCTGATCTGCCACTTTAGCTTGTTGATATGCTAATTCTTTGGTAAGTGTGATCACAGATTCCAAGACAGGACCATACCTGTCATAGTCCCAAATCCAGAAAATGCAACAAACCGAAGGGGGAAGATTCTACATAAGACTCTGGTTCATGTAAAATTCATGTAAAATGGAAATACCTCTTTAATCGTTTCAAAAAGATACCAGTAAGCTCCACGGATGTAACTTGTTTTGTTTTAATGAGTTCCCCCAATTCCGGAATCTGTCAAATTTCTCAATTAATTGAAACACTGTGAAGACTAAGAGACAAGAGAGAAATGGATATTTTGAATATATTTATGTTTGTCTAAATGGTTTACAATAGCTGTTATTTATACAAGTACTAATCACGTATATAAGGTAACTAATAATAATAGTATATTAAATGAAAGAGATGTAACAGCTAATTATAATATAATGTCTTAAATACAAATTATTTTTTTCCTACAATACGCCACCGCAAGCCTGGTATTCTCTCACTTCCAAGAATCCTGAGCTTGTCTCTAAGAAGAATAAAGCGTTGCCGAGGAAGCGGTTTAGTGAGAACATCAGCTATCTGATTGGAAGAGGGGATATGATAAACTTGAAGAAGTCCGCGTTGAACCCACTGCCGAACAAAATGAAAGTCAATAGCCACATGTTTCATGCGAGAGTGGAAGACATGATTTGCGGAAAAAGTTGTAGCTCCTTTGTTATCACAAAGGATGAGTGGAGGAGAAAGAAGCGGGTGCCATAACTCACACAAGAGAGATTCAATCCAAATAATTTCAGAGGCCGCGGTGGAAAGAGCTCAATATTCTGCTTCCGTGGAAGACTGAGCAATAATGTACTGCTTGACTGATTTCCAAGAAATAAGGGACTCCCCGAGAAAGATGGCATAGGCACTGGTAAAGGAACGGTCATCAGGGTTCTCTGCCCAGTCAGCAGTAGCAAAGGCACGGAGAGAGGGTGAGATGCTGCGACAAAGAAAGAGGTCATGAGAGGCAATGCCCTGTAGATATGGCAAAAGACGTTTGAGTAGTTGTGAGTTGCCATGATTAATTATAGGTTTATGCATAAATTGAACCAATTTGTTAATAGCAAAAGCAGCGTCTGGGCGGGTAAGATTCAAGTATTGAAGTGACCCAAGAACCTGGCGATAGAGAGTAGTATCACAAAAGCCTGGACTGTCAAACATAGTTAAGGAAGCAGAGGAAGCTAACGGCGTAGCCACAGGATTAGCCTCATCCATTTTTAATATCTTTAATAAGTCCATAATGTATTTATGTTAATCAAGAAAGTGTCCACCTTGTGTAGGAGTAACCTGCATGCCCCAAGAAATAGTGTAAGACTCCTAAATCCTTGATAGAGAACTGGTGGGCCAAGGAGTCAATAGTATAACGTATCATGGTTGGTGTGGATCCAGTAACAATAATGTCATCCACATAAACCAACACATAGATGTAAGAGTGATGGGAGGAACATATGAAGAGACTAGCATCAGCAACAGACTGATAAAAACCAAGTTAGAGAAGAAATTCACTAAGAGATTGATACCGCACCCGCCGAGGCGCTTGTTTAAGGCCATAAATGAATTTCCGAAGACGACACACAAATCCAGAACCATCATTAAAGTCAGGAGGTTGCTTCATTTAAACTTCCTCTTGAAGAGTCTCATGTAGGAAGGCGTTGTTGACGTCCAACTGATGTACTGGCCAGCCAATAGTCAAGACAATGCAAATAGTGACCGGTTTTATGACCGAACTGAAAGTGTCAGAATAATCAATCCCGGGGCGCTGATGAAAACCCTTAGCCACTAGTCGAGCCTTGTAGCGATCCAAGGAGCCATCCGGCTTATATTCACTTTATAGATCCATTTACAACCCACAATATTTTGACCGGGTTGAGCTGGAACAAGATCCCAAGTTCCCTGTTTTACGAAGGCATCAAATTTTACTGACATAGTCATCCGCCATTCTAGTACTTGCATAGCTTGAAAAATACAAGTGGGAATTATGTGATGGGGTAAAGGGTTTTGAATGGCAATATGGGCTTGTTTACGAGGTCGAAAGGTCATTGGGTAGGTACATTTGGATGGTGGGTTATCGAGTGGTGGAGTTGAGGTAGTGATATCAGGGGTGGTAGGTGGATGAGGGGTGGGGACAGGAGGATTTGGTTTGGGAGTTGGGACGGCATTGGTAAGTAATAATTTGTGGTGGTGTGGGTCAAAGGGAGATGGGGTGTGGGTCACTTTGGGTGAAAATAGTGGGTGACGTACCAAGAGACTATTGTTGAGTCGTGGTATGAGTAGAAGGAGACGTCCTCGTAACCATAGTACTTGAAATAGAAAGATAAGACATGGAAGGTTGAAGTCAGAGATCGACTTCGGGGTGATGTTTAAGATTGGTGGTGTGGTTGTCAAGAAGTGGAAGACTGAGTCAAACACTACATGCCTCCTAACAAAGACATGGTTAGTGGTAAGACCAAGAAAACGATAAACACTTTGTTGGTCACAGTACTCAAGACAGACACACAGTTAAGAGCGTGGTTCTAACTTATGAGTGGTATAAGGACGTAACCAAGGGAAACATCAGCACCCAAAAATAGCAAGTTTATTGTAATGAGGAGATTGTTAGAGGAGTTTTTTGTAGGGGGTGCAGAAGTTAAGAGAGAGGGTAGTTTGTCTATTGATGAGATAAACTATCGAAAGGAAAACATAAGACCAATATTTAAGAGGCTTGGATGCATGGTGAAGTAAGGTGATACCAGTTTCAACAATGTGACGATGCCAACGTTCAGCAAAGCCATTGTGTTCTGGAGTGTGGGGGAGTAAGTGAGAAACACCACAAGTGTATAGGAATTTCCCTCGGGTAATGTATTCGCCTCCCCCATCAGAGTAAACTGTTATAATTGTGCGTTGAAAAAAGTTCTCCATAATTTCTTTAAACTGTTGAAAAAGTGAAGTGACTTCAGACTTATGAGTCATAGTATAAAACCAAATATATTTGGTATAGTGATCGACAAAATAACATAGTAACGAAGGCCATCAACAGAGGTAATACAAGCGGGGGCCCAAACATCCATATAGATTAAATCTAGGGGTCCCGAAGTCGTAAGAGATGATTTTGCAAACGGTAATTAATAGCTTTTAATACTAGCACACGAGACACATAAGGGAATATTTATTGCAACATTTGGAAAAGAAATACCTAAGGAAGAGAGAACTCTTTTAGTGAAGGGACGGCAGGATGTCCTAAACGACAAAATTATTCTGGCCACATCGTTTCGGGTTGTAAGGAGCATTGGGTCGCTCGTTTCTAGGCTGACTCCTAGTAGAATTCCGGGTTGGGTAATTTGGGCGATTGGGCTGGTTGTGAATTTGAGGGAAAGTGAACAAGGAGTTGTATGAAAAATTGGACTTTAAGGAAGGAGAACAAGATATTTATAGACTTGCTCGTCTTCGTGATCGCAGGACTCAAGATATCGGAAAAGTTAAGTGTGCGAAGGATGTCGATCAAAGGATATTAATGGAGGATGGATAGATAAAAGAGAGGTGGAGGTCATACTTTGATACATTGTTAAACGGGAACAAAGTGCAAGATATTGGTGATTTGATCATACCAGATTGTATGGTAAATCGTGATTTTGTGAGAAGGATCCAAACAACGGAAGTTAAAGAGGCTCTGAGGAAGATGGGACGGAAGAAAGCAGTGGGTCCAGATGGCATACCGATCGAGGCTTGGAGAAATTTGAGAGAGAGAGGCATCGAGTGGTTAACAAATTTCTTCAACAAGATTTGGAGAAACAACAAGATGCCAACGAGTTGGAGAAAGAGTACTCTTATTCCCTTATTTAAGAATAAAGGTGATGTACAAGAATGTGCCAACTATCGAGGGATTAAGCTTATGAGTCATACCATGAAACTTTGGGAGCGAGTGATTGAGCAAAGACTTCGAAGAACGGTGAAGATTTCAGATAATCAATTCGGTTTTATGCCTGGTCGCTCAACAACTGAGGCCATTCAACTTCTTCGGCAACTTATGGAGAAGTATAGAGACGCTCACAAGGATTTTCATTTGGTGTTCATTGACTTAGAAAAGGCATATGATAGGGTACCTCAAGAAGTTCTTTGGTGGGCCTTAGCTAGAAAAGGCATATCACGCAAGTATATCAGCATCATCATGGATATGTATGAGGATTGTACTACAAGTGTCCGTACTAGTGTAGGGAGGACTTCAGAGTTCCCTATTACTATCGGAGTGCACCAAGGATCGGCTCTGAGCCCTTTCTTATTTGCCATTGTCATGGATGAACTTACAAAGTCAATTCAAGACGATATACCGTGGTGCATGATGTTTGCCGACGATATTGTATTGATTGATGAGACGCAATCAGGGGTTAAAGCAAAGTTGGAAGTATGGCGACAAACATTGGAGAACAAGGGTTTTAGACTAAGTCGGAGCAAGACAAAGTACATGGAGTGCAAGTTTGGTGGAGGTAGAAGCAGTGGTAATAGCATAATTACTCTAGATGGTAAAGAGATACTGGCCAGCGATATGTTCCGTTACTTGGGCTCCATAATTCAGAAGAACGGTGAGTTAGATGGAGATGTATCCCATAGAATTAGAGCAGGGTGGGTGAAGTGGAAGAGTGCGTCAGGATTTCTATGCGATCGAGGTATGCCGACTAGACTAAAGGGTGAATTTTATAGGACAGCAATTAGGTTTGCATTACTGTATGGCACGGAGTGTTGGGCGGTGAAACAATGTCACAATCAAAAGATGAGTGCGGCAGAGATGCGCATGCTGCGTTGGATGTGTGGGCATACTAGAAAGGACCGCGTGAGGAATGAGACAATCAGACAAAGGGTGAGAGTAGCACCTATTGAAGATAAGATGCGGGAGTCGCGCCTGCGGTGGTTTGGTCATGTGCATAGAAGACCGCATGATGCACCTGTCAGACGAGTTGAGATGTGTGGAGAAGAGGCAGGAAAGAGAGGGAGAGGAAGGCCCAAACAGACGTGGGTTAGAGGAGTCAGAAATGATATGCTTCTTCTTGGATTGGATGAGGGTATGGCGTTGGAGAGAGCAAAGTAGAGGGCGGAGATTCGTGTGGAGGAGTGATCTTGTATCATCTTTTCCCCCTTTTTTTCTTATTTCTTATCCTTTTATCCTTATATATAAATATTATTTCTATCCTTTTTATTTTATCTTTTATATGTATATTCATCTCTTTTATACTTCCTCCGTTCTTTAAATCTTGCAACATTGTGATTTTTGCACTATTCACAAACCTTACTTTGACCACAATTTTCTACTAATTTACATAATCAAATTATTACGTATAAAATGTCATTGAATTCCTATCAATGTGAATTTCTCAAATATCAACTTTTTATAATGTTTACTAATATATAATTAAATATAATTACAGTCAAAGTTGTGCATTGGCAAACGTGAAAGTCAATCTATTGCAAGAATTAAAGAACGGAGGATAGTATTATCTTTTTATAATAGCTTATCTTTTTTTTATCTTTATTTTCTTTCTTTTCCTTTTGGTGATATCATGTATCGATTCATGTTAGCCGACCCCAATATCTTTTGGAACTAAGGCTTGGATGTTGTTGTTGTTGGGCTGGTTGTGAATTTGAGCAGACGGTCCAGGGCCCAATACAGATGCAGTATTTGACGAGGCTGGACTTCTGCGAGTAGCAAGTGCGACCGGCTCCCCTATAGCAGTAGTCTTAGCAGTCACCACAGAAACAGAACTGTCTAGGACTTCCTCCCACCGTAAAGTTGCTTTGAAGCCTGTGAGCAGAGTGCAGATGTTGCCGAAGCTGTTGTCTCCACGCGTTCGAATAGAGTTTGTAAAGGATTCAAACTCAGGGGAGTCCCTCCAAGGCTTGAATGATGAAGTCCTCGTCATAGAGTTTGTAAAGGATTCATGTTAGCCGACCCCAATATCTTTTGGAACTAAGGCTTGGATGTTGTTGTTGTTGGGCTGGTTGTGAATTTGAGCAGACGGTCCAGGGCCCAATACAGATGCAGTATTTGATGAGGCTGGACTTCTGCGAGTAGCAAGTGCGACCGGCTCCCCTATAGCAGTAGTCTTAGCGGTCACCACAGAAACAGAACTGTCTAGGACTTCCTCCCACCGTAAAGTTGCTTTGAAGCCTGTGAGCAGAGTGCAGATGTTGCCGAAGCTGTTGTCTCCACGCGTTCGAATAGAGTTTGTAAAGGATTCAAACTCAGGGGAGTCCCTCCAAGGCTTGAATGATGAAGTCCTCGTCATCTACAAGGCGGGCGGGCGGGCAGAGTTAGTTCGTCGGCGAGGGTGCGGAGGTGATGGAGATACTCTCCCACCGGCTTAGATCCATGTTGAGTGTGGCGAAAGAGCTCGTGTGGCTCTGATACCATAAGAGACAAGAGAGAAATGGATATTTTGAATTTATTTTTGTTTGTCTAAATGGTTTACAATAGCTGCTATTTATACATGTACTAATCACGTATATAAGGTAAGTAATAATACTATATTAAATAGCAGAGATATGTAACAGCTAATTATAATATTATGTCTTAAATGCAAATTATTTCTTTCCTTCAATAAAGAGAAGATCATTATATGGGGCTGTGTTTGGTTGTTTTGACCAACTGTAAATGTTTGACTAGTAAAATCAGCTAAACAAAATGTTTGGTAAATGAGTTTTGAATCATCTTGCTGGGCCAAAGAAACTAAAAAGCAGTCCTAGCATTTGTGATGTTTGATGCCTGCATCTTGTTTTCCAATTAGAACCTCCCGTAGTGTTTCACCACCAGCTAGCTGATATCAGCTATATAATTACCTAAGTACCTAACAAAGCCATAGTAAAGAAGTATGAGGTAGTTTGGGACATACACTCATAAAGGCAATATCTTCGTCATTTTCCGGCCTTTGTACATCAGAGGGAGACGGATAAGAAAATCTACTTGTTGTCATGTGCTGCAAATGTAGGTCACTCCAAGCAGCATTGAAAACCAAAGGAGATGGATTATGCAACCCTCCATTGACAGATGCAACTAACTCCCGGTTGGCTCGTATGATAGGAGTATTTAATTCCTTTGCACCCTTTTCAATCTCAAGCATCTAAAAGGTAGGAAACCAAAAAAATCTCAAACCTCCACTGTAAGGACTTTGTTATGTTAAGAGACTGAAAAAAGGTTGCATTGTCTCTGATTCACACAGTCACACACTTACGGGGCTGTGCCCAGAATGAGGAAAGTATGCGAGGAAAGAAAAAATATACTACTTATATGAGAGTAGAAGTAGAAGCTTATGATTTTCCGTTGTTTGGGAAGAACATAGAAGAGGAAGGAATGGAAAATTATGTTATTTTCCTCTTCTAGTTCTCACTCTAAATAGGAAAGGAAATGTGATATTTATACTGGGAAAAAATAACTTCTCACAAATACTTCATCTAGCTCACATTAAGCGTGGTTTTTCGAGCAAAATATGTGAGGCCCTTAAAGAAAATATGAGAAAGATAGCATTTGGTTTTTGAGCTTTATAAGTGACTCTCATTGTGGGAATACTAATTTCTTCCTAAGTGACAATACATTTATAAACTTGTTAATTAGATATGAATATGCCTCAATATGTTCCACAAGAAAATTCTTTTTTGGCGAAATGTCATGTTTCCAGTGACAATTATTGTGAGAGTAAAAAAATTAAATATCTGACTTGTTATTTTTGGAAGGACATAATTTTACTATGTTGTGATTTACTATTTTATACTATGTATACTTTTTCTGTGAATTAACAAATATTAGATCATAATGTGAAATTAATCATCTTCATTAAACTCGTAATGAGATACTCCCTCCGTCCCTCCATTTTTGTCCTACTTTCCCTTTTTCGTCCGTCCCACTAAATTTGTCGCATACCATATTTGGTAATATTTTGGTGATTACAATTCATCCTTATTTTATTCACTTTATCAATTTAATACAAACTACACAACTTCACTTTTCTTAATAACCGCACCACTCCCTTTTGTCCCAATGTTAGGGGGACGAAGGTAGTATTTCTGTATTTGTTAGTTTCACAGAATAAGTACTATCTCCTTCTCACTATCTTTGGAACATGAGGAAGTGGTACAAATATTAATGAAGGTGTAGATATGTGTTTTATATTGAATTGATAAAGTATGAATGAATTTGAAAGACACAAATACTACAAGATGTAGGAGCATGGACAAAACTTAGTTGAATGAAAAATGAAAGACAGGACAAAGATAGTGATTCTAGCAACTTGCATGTAAGATCTCATCACGAGCAAGTGGGAGGGAAGACTGGGATTTCGAAGGCTTGGTTATGGTGGGGCATACAGGGAAGAACAAGAAGTATGCAAATCTAGATAGCAATAGAAGGAATTTTTTATTGAAAAACTGCATGCTCCTTGTGACTTTTCTTGCTTCGAACTTGCAAATAAAGAAATCAAGCAAAAAGGAATTATGCCATTTATCTTCAAGATGTGTGTGAATAGTCTGTGCGATTAGTAAATTGCAACATAATAAATCTCTTCTCTCCAAAATTAACAAGTCAAATATTAATTCTTTTCTCCCATCCTATTTTTCTTCAAATTCAATCACATCACATGATAGGAAACTAATGAAAGCTCCATCTTCAATAGAGAAAGTTCCAAATGCAGTCTTGTAGAAACGAATAAATACCTTTTTGTCACTAAAGAAGCAAGAGTCCAATAATGCAAACCCACATTCGCAAGCTGAAACGTTGTTTTCCCTCTCCAAACATTCACCTTTATTTCTAGGATCCATCTTCCCGCTGTCCTTATGCAAGACAAAATTATGTGAATAGAGGAAAGATAAAACAGCAAAGAAGTGTCTTTTTAAGCATTCCAAGCCTTACCTAGTAGAACTAAGGGTCCGGGACTGAGCCCGAGCATGTTGGTATGATATATTCCAGACATTTTTGCATGTATTTCCCTGCTTCACAAATAATAGATAAGGAAAATCCACAAATCTTAGGACGAAATGGAAATATAACAGCAGAGGATTGAATGGCTGGTTGATGATATGCTCTTCCAAATTTATTTTGTTTGGTACTTTGGTACGAAGGCTCCATCATTTCCAATGGAGCCTAAGACTCACTATTTTTTGACTTGGGAATATGATGGAATATAGCAAAATGGCTCACATTTATGACTCACATTTCCTTCTTTTCCTTTTAGCGGTGATATCATGTATTGATTCATGTTAACCGACCCCAATATCTTTTGGGATTAAGGCTTGGATGTTGTTGTTGTAGTATAGCAAAAGTTTCATATTAATAAAACAATCGTCCAGAAGTTAAATTTGATCCCTGCAACAAATGGAGTAGGGGATAGATGAAGTGGAGATAAATGACCCTTCCACCCTTAAACATTAGACAATGTTTCATTTAATTGATTAAAAAGTCATTAATACCCATTAAATTTAAGCTAAATTCCTGATTTAGATTACTTATCCCACTAAACCAGCTCTTAAGATAATTTAGAACAATATACAAATAATTTAACTGCAGAAAGTTAGTACAGACTCAAAATTGAACTATAATAGGGCTCTCTAAATACTGCATCTATGTAAGTTGGTCATTAAAGCTTTGTTTAGTAAAACAGCTGATAAGTGACAGGATAGTTAATTAGTAAGTATTAACGTTTAATTGATAGCTCATAATTAATAAATTAGTTGATTTCAGAAAGTATATAGTATCTGGTGCATTAGGCTTATTATAAGCCAATAAGCTAGCTCTAAAATACAAAATAACAAAATAGGATATGCTAAAAATAGTTCTATATAATACGAGACTAAAAATGGAAAAACTCATGTAACTTAATTGAACAAAGAATCTTGTTAAATAAGTTCGCCTACCACATGCAAGAGCAGATGTATACTACGTATTTAGTCAATTAGTTGGTTGAATCTCAGGGCAACCAATTTTTTTCTTAATTCTTATAGTGTAAACTTTTCCATTTTTACCATTTAACCCACCCTCACTATTATTTAAGTCTAGTTTTTGAATCCACCCCTGACCAAATGCAACTTGTTTGAAGACAATTCTTTTAAAGCTAATAACTAACTTATAAGCTAATTTATGGCGTGTCAAACATAGCTTGGGTTTTCGTAGGGTGTATGCTTGAGCATTGTAAAATAAATGATTAAGTTATTTACTAAAAAAACAATGCTGGGTGACCTAAAACCGACGCTCAGTTACATACTAAAATCATGTACCTTTTGACAATAATAATAGAAAAAAATTAAATCCCTAATGTCAGTGATCTGTGAAAATAGGAGTTTTACATTTTTCCCACAATCACGTAACATTTTGCTATAGTTAAGGGAGTATTCCCGAAATATGAGTAAAAACATTTTGGAACTAAAAAATATGTCATGTTTAATTTAATTTAAAGTCTGGTAATACTAGAGTAACTACTCCTATTTAAGAAATAAAAAACACAAGGGAAAATGGAAACTAATAATCCAACCTTTTAGCGGTCTTCTTTTAATAATCCGACCTTTTCATTATTCATGAATAATCCAACCTTTGCACCTCATCTTCATTCATGGGTCCCCGACCGGTTGATGACCTGCTATTCCGAGTTATTTTCTTATCTCTGCAAACTATTATATCATAAATTCCACCTTTCACAAAGATAATATTTTGCAAAGATAAGAAAATAACTTGGAATAGCAGGTCATCAACCGGTCAGGGACCAATGAATGAAGATGAGGTGCAAATGTTGGATTATTCATGAATAACGAAAAGGTGGGACTATTAAAAGAAGACCGCTAAAAGGTTGGATTATTAGTTTCCATTTTCCCAAAACATAATAGTCCTAGTTTATTACTACGTGTGTTACTATTACCATTTTATAAAATCTTGAATATATATTACTTCCTCCGTTTCCTAAAAGTGGCAACATTAGGATTTTTGCACTATTCACACACCTTACTTTGACCATGATTTTCTACTAATATCTATAATCAAATTATTATGTATAAAATTTTATTAAAGTTCTATTCATGTGAAATTTCAAAATATTAATTTTTTATGATTTTTACTAATTCGTAATTAAATATAATTTCAGTCAAAGTTGTGCGTTGGCAAACGTGAAAGTCAAACGGTTGCAACTTGCAACTATTAAAGAAGGGAGGATAGTATATAAAAGATGTACACTCAGAGTCTTTAGGTAATGATAAGTAGGGCAGGTGAAATTCATTTGTAAATGAGTTCTTAAAGTGGAGAGTTGGCAAAATGAAGAGTTGAGCTAAATTAGACATTTTAGAACAAAGGTAAAATTTTAATTGAAAATCTGGTTTTCTATTGGAATATGGCTTTAGTTGTGTCCGAATTCCAAATGAATTCCACAATGCCATTTTAAACTCCACGCGTGGAAGTCTATATTTGCAAAGAAATTCTGCAATCTTTGGGTGAACAGAAATTGTCATGAATAGTAGTTACCAGAGGACCCATGGCTAATGCAATAGCATAGCAACTGAAAGACTCTTGAATTTTGAATACACAGATAGAAAGGATTGAATCGGACATAAATGATGCGGTTGAGAACAGAATCCACGGGGAGGCAAAACTTACCATTTTGGTTTCCGATGGAGCAGAGCAGACGGTGAAGCACAGGAGTAGTAAGATGACGACGGCCGGTAACACGGACGTGCGATGTAGGAATAGCAATAATCGACGTGTACAGCTCTGCGGCTTCCTGTCAAACATATTGAATTCAGCGTTTGCCACGTTTGTACAGCTCTGCGGCTTCCTGTCAAACATATCTCTACAATATTTACAAATTTATTTACAAATATTGTCAGGGGTTAAACAGTGATAAAAAATGTTGGTGTCTCTGGTGCATAATCTTACTGTATTTTATGTTTACTTTGTTGTACATTGCTGACCTGCTCGCGGCTTTAACGTTATAACCTTACGGAGGAAAGTCCACACTCTTTTATATGTACTCTATTTCATTTATTTCCTTGAACCCCTTACCGTTTCAGCTCCTCTCTTCCGTTTTAGCCGCTTAGAATTCTTGACTTGGTAGAATCGGTGTAATGGCTTCACCACCCTACTTACTGTATGTACTGCTTGAGGTTGATTTTTGGAAGTTTGGTCCCCTGCTCTGGAAAGGTCATGGAGGATTTGTATGCTCATGATGGATCTTGATATGGATTTGTGACGGTCTGATGGAGTCCTACCTCACTGAAGCAGATGCTCGCCGGAAATGTCCTTTTTCTTCGACAGATCTGGATTTCGAAGGTGAATTGAAAGCCGATGGTGTGCGTGGATCTCTCCTAAGATTGAGGGGACCTTCACCCAACGATTTAAGGTTGGTCTGAATCTGGGCTATCTTTGGGCCTTCTCTCCTCCATTTCTTTGCTGGACTGGCCTGTGTCTTCTTTAACTAGACTCTTAAAAGAGCATCCTCTACTCTTTATCTCTACTCTATTTCATTTGTTTGGTTGAAAACCCTTACACACAATCTCTCATTTATTGTGTGAAAGAGTCTAGCTTTAAGATTGACTTTATGCCAATCAACCAGAGATGGGTTCAACACTTCAATTCGTGTGAACATATTGAAACTGAGTTGAAACTAGCACTAACAGGTCAGGTCACGCCTCTTTCCAAGTAACGATATCTATCTTGTTATTGTTTTTTTTTAAAATCTTTTGCATTTGGATATTAGAATTAGGTGGTCATGTGATGAGACAAATTCAAATTGCATAGGTGATGGAAGCCCCCAAAATTCAGATTGCAGAAATTCTGGTCTCCACTAACACTAGCATCGATAGTCATAGGGAGAAAAAACCCTTATTTCCTAAGAAAGGGCAGACCTTGGAGCTGGTTTGTACTTTTATTGATCAAATTTGGTGTTCTTTTTTATGTATAAAGAACCTTGTTATAATTTAACATCTCTTGTTCCATTATGTAAATGTAGATATTATGATCAAATTTGGTGTTCTTTTTATGTTTTGACATTAGTAACATAATTAGTAATTGACAATTTGACATATTATTTGCTGAGTTCACGTGAGCAAAAATAAACCAACTTTAGATTCATTAGCTTCTTTAGTATTTTTGGGGCATCTCCATCTCCTTTTTTTGAATTTATCTCCTGATTATCCTTATAAGTACTTCTATTCATATTTTTCTATAACTTTTTTGAATTGGTTCTATATCTTTAGTCTCATCCTTTTTAACCCCCTACCCACCAACAATGTTCTAAAATATGCCGTTCATGCTTACGAGTGATGTTTACGTTTAACAAGTGTGCTCAAATTTGAAATAATATAATGAGTGAAAACATTTAAAAGTATGAATAGTTGAACTTATATGTTTAGGAAAGTGATATATTTAACAGATTTGCTAAAACATTTAAATTATATTACCGCTTCAAGTAAACTTCTTGAATAAACTTATGCATACATGTATATTTCTATTAAGGTGTTAGTTTTCTATTAGCTATTGCTTGATAGAGTTGCTTTTAGTAGATATTGTACTTCAGGCAACCAAAAACATGTCCACAAAACACATCTTTGTAAATGTAAAAGTCTCATTTAGTGCTTCTATATTAAATATCAATAACATCCTTGAACTGCTTATATACAGTGTCTATATTTAATTATTTATTACAATATTCTGATTTGGTAAAACTGCTTATCCCGCTAATCATTGATTTAGGTATCCTCATCTCAATCAACTTTTACTTAATGAATTGATTTGTTGAAAGTCGTCATGCATAAAATTAAAACTGAGATTGCCGAGAGACCACAAAATGCAAGCAAGACAAATAACGAAGTCCATATTGTTGTCAATTTTCAATCGTTTTTTGTTTGGACTAAATGGATGGGTATCTATCCTAAAGTAAATACTTTATTGTTTATCATTGCTTATCAGTAAATAAGAAACTACGTATTCAAATATTGTATTCGTATATTCGTTCAACACTTCAACCTAAATTGATGAATTAGTGTCCTACAATGGCCTTGGGCATTACCACGAACGCGCAACGCGCGTTACTAAACTAGTTGAATTATAAGCGTTTAGACTATAAACCAGACGATTAAGTCTTTATAAACTGAGCTTTTGGTAAAACATATAGTTTCTATGAACCAAGAATCTACTATGGTAAATCAGGGGCTTAATGGTCTTGTCTCACCCCCACCATTCCTCGCGCTAATGGTGCGCCTTTCGGCCGTGCGCATGCCTGGTTTTTTTGAATGCTCCAAAAGCGTTGTCAATGCTTCATGGAGGCGGCCCCACTTCACACTCATATAGGTGATCTTATCAAGTGTGTCCCGCACTTAACACACCACCCATAAGGGCTATGATAATCATTAAGAGTTTTAGCTCATCCTCACAAAGGAATGCAGTCTAACCTCACCCTAGAAATGAACATTCAAAATAGGCTAGCAGATCAAATAAAAGACTTGTTATTACCCATATGAACTTAGTTCATGGGATCTCCAATCACACAGGTCGAGTTACCGTCCCTATTTGTTATCAAGTGACAATTCATTTCCCTCGGTGTATAAAATAATCATCTCATTAACGTCCTAGCTAGGATTACAACTTTATCAAAGGAGTGGCCAACTCCTTCTGATTTCACATTATTAATGGAAATAAATTCATTCTTCAACATCATTGCACCACTGGGTGAATGGATATCCACTATTTTATTTTATCTCATATGAGTCGACTCATGTATCATCATTGTATCCCGGCAATACAACGGATAACTATCAATAAGACATGACAACACTTGCTTCGCCATCTTCAATCGAACCGCCCATGTCTTTGGACCGGCAAAAAGTTGAGCCAGTTGCTCGTCGGAAATCACATCTCTCCGTTGATAATCCGTATCAAAACCATCCCGGTTTTGAGAAGAAGATCGGGCATGTCTTTACCTTTGCCTCGGCTTTGAGGATGTCCTTTCGCAATCTCCTTCTTTCTGTTGCGTTGGAGATTACCCAAATCTACAGAATGTCTAGGTTGCGACATCTTTAAATGTAACAAATACTAAATTCTAACAAATATTTAAATGTGTGTACAATTGAAATGAAACTAATATTGAAATGTAACTAAAATGTGAGTTTAATATTAAATTGCGAGTTTAATATTAAAATGTAACTGATATAAAAATGTAACTAAAATGTGAGTTTAACCTTAAAATGTGGGTTCAATATTAAAATATAACTAATATGATAATGTAACTAAAATGTGACTTTAATATCAAAATGTAACTAATATGATAATGTAACTAAAATGTGAGTTTAATATTATAGTGTAACTAATATTAAAATGTTACTAAAATGCGAGTTTAATATTAAAATGTAACTAAAATTAAAATGTAACTAATATGAGAACAATGTAATATGGGAATGTAAGAAATATTAAAATGTCACTAAAATTTAAATGCAACTAACATTCAAATATGAGAAAATTTTATATGATAATGTGACAAGTATAGTAAATGCAATTAATATGTGAGTATAGTAAATGCAATTTAAATGCAACTACTATTATAATGTAACTAAAATGCAAACATTGTAAAAAGATAGTGTAAGAAATATTTAAATGTGACTGATATTTAAATGCAACTAATATTGAACTAATATTAAAATCTAACAAATATGATTAATTATTAATATGATAATGTAACAAGTATAGTAAACGAGAGTATAGTAAATGCAATTTCAATGCAACTACTATTAACAATTTAAAATTAACTAAAATGAGAATAATGTAAAATGAGAATGTAAGAAATATTTAAGTATGAATAATGTAAAATGAGAATGTAAATATGAAAATGTAACCTATAGGAAAATATACTTAACATATATAATTTATAATATAAACATATTTCGTAACTAATAGGATAAATGACATTTAAAATTTATGAACTATAACTCTCTCTAGGTCTGGCTCTCGGCGCCGCTAGGGTAGCTTCATGTTGTTTCCGTCTTCGGCTCGAACGAAGTACGGCAGACGGCGACGGCCATCGTGGAGAACGAAGATTGATACGCAACAGAGTGTGCAGCGGACGGCAGCGGTGTCATGCTTCGGCGGGTCTTCTCGTCTGGTTCGAGTTAGGCTTTTGAACGAATGGAAGAGGTGGTGCATCAGTACAAAAGGATGGCCATAGGAGATGATAACAACAACCCAAATTTTGATGATGAGGAGGATGGAGACCTTGATCCAACAACAAAGGGGGCTGAATTTCCGGTGGTGGGAGTGATTCTCACGGATCGGAAGATCGGGTTTCAGACCATGAAGGATCTTTTTTATTCAATCTGGCGATCAGGCAAACAAATGTCAGTTGAAGAGATAGGCGATAAGAGGTATTTGTATACTTTTTATCATATAGTGGATATGAATCGTGTTCTGGAAGATGGTCCTTGGTTGTTTGAGAGGAATTTATTACTGCTTAAGGTATTCCCCATAGGATGAATTTGTTTGAAACAGAGTTCTGGGTGCAAGTGCACAATGTTCCCTATAGTTTTATGAATATAGGTACCGCTAGAAGGGTGGGAAACTATATTGAGGGGTGTTGATGTTAATTCCTTCAACCCTTGGGCCCAACACGTAAGCCCAAAAGGTCTCGAGTGGAAGAGGTGTAGGAGTGTGTGAATATTTAGCCCAGCAACTATCAGACGGATCAGGAAACAGAGGAAATAGCAGGCAATGTAAATAGGTATTATTAACTTCGTAATAACTCCCCTAAATACAATCTACTTGCTAAAAAAGGCACGTCGGCCGTTCGTC